ATCTCAACCCAATAGAGCATCTTTGGGATATGGTGGAACGGGAGCTTTATGCCCTGGATGTGCATCCCACAAATCTCCATCAACTGATGGCATTCATTCAGATGCTATCCTATCAATATGGGCCAACATTTCTAAAGAATGCTTTCAGCACCTTGTTGAATCAATGCCACGTAGAATTAAGGCAGTTCTGAAGGCGAGAGGGGGTCAAACACCGTATTAGTATGGTGTTCCTAATAATCCTTTAGGTGAGTGTATATTGGCTTACATACATTATTAAGTAGAACACTAATAGCTAGCAGCTAAAAAACTGAGTTGTTTGACTTCACACACTAATAGATGGTAAAGTAATACACTGCAGTGCGCCTTAGGGGTGGAGTTACAGGGTGTTCAGGAATGAGAATGACCATCCTAATAAATACATGACCACCCCTGTTGCCACCCCACATCAAAGTAATAAAATCTAAATATGGATTACTGTATCTTCTAAGCGGAAACATAGAAGAGACATGATGCAGCATGGCCACCCCCATAAATATAACCAGCTCCTGAAGGCCACCCCAATTGAAATTTTCTGCAGATGGTGCTGGTGTGCTGAGGTAATACAGTTCTTCTGCAGTAGCTTAAATAAATATTGAGGCAAAAAATAACTATAAGGACTATGAATCAGATTATCCATTACAGATAATTAACTTCACATCTAAAGTAATTAGCTATCTAGGCCTGCGATTAGGAGCCAATATGAATTGTCTAAGTTCAAAATGCACTTTTAATAGGCTTTGGTGGTATTGAGATAATACGGTTTATTGCAGTGTTTTTGGGTTCACTAATACAATGCTAGAACGTCAACGAATTATATTGTAGGGCACCCGGCCACTCCGCAAACTTTATCTTCAAGATCTCTAAATACCTGAAAATACTGGAGTAGCATTTGTGCTTTTGGACAGTACTTTGACAAACATCTTATCTTGCTTCTTTACTATCTTGTGGAGTCAGTTAGCTATGCACGAAACTACGTTTTCTCTCCACTGATTCAGTCGCCCTACGTTCAACCAAAACCAGCTCTCTTCCCTCACCACTGTGTATGATTGACTGATTCTGTCCCCAGTCTGGAGCAGAAAGAGCAGGAGGAAGGAAAAGTAGTTCCTACCCTAACATGGACCTTTAGGTTCTGGTAGTAGTTTATGTCGTATAATAATAACGCAAACATTTCAAACGTTTCATTACCAGTTAAAATATTTATATTGTAATATTAGAATCAATTCTAAAAAATTTACCATTCAGATCAAAAGAACTGATATTTTAGAATCAATCCACACATTACTACTGAATGCTGCTGTGAACTGAACAAACTCCAGGTTTTGTTTTATCATTCTTTTGATGTGTGAGGATCATTTAATAATGTTCATATACAAATGCAAAGGTGTGCACAGACTTTTTGAGGAGCAAGTGTTCAAAGGTTAATCAAGGGGTACTCAGAACGTTTAAGCTCAGGCACAAAGTGAGATTACATAGCTAAAGACGGGCTGATGCCCAGGCACCCGCACCCTGACACATTACATTACTTTGACTTTGCAGATTGTTGACTGAGCCTCATGAAAAGTTACATTGTGACAATAAGTATTTTTCTTTGATTTGGCCATTGGTAATGCAGTTCATTACATAAAAAACTCAATTAGCCTAGTAATGTTCTTCATTTATCTGTAAAACTAATTAATTATTGCCTAAACGCCTAAACGGATAATACAAAAGCAGCATTAAAAATAAAAAACATGAACATTACTTACTTTGATCTTGTCTTTTCAATATTAATTACAAATGCATGTCATTTCTTCCTGAAGATGAAGCAAAAAAGCAGTGTGGATTACCAAGGCATTTTAGAAGGATAGGATAAGAAATCCGGTGCTGCACGCGATGGAACAAGACAAAAACTAAAATACATGAACAACATGTTGTTTTTATCTCTCCATCTACTGTTTGCATTTAGGGCACCACTGTGCAGTTCCACAGAGGACAATATAAAACGTATAAAACAGTACAGCATATGTTCCCCATTGCCTGTTACTTATCTTCATTGTCCTCATCTGATAACTAGTCAATTTTATTGCTTGTTTAGGGAAAATATGTAGTTATCTGTAGCATCTTGCCACTGAAACTTGGCAAGAAACTCACATTTTCATTGAAAGCTGGGGATTTTACAAACCAACAGAGAAGACACAAGTATTTCAAAGCATTACAACACTAACAAACCTAGCAAATATGAAGTAATTAAATATTTTTTTCACTTTCTATCTAAGCTCAAGAAACATTATATGGTTTGCCTGTTTTTACATAGTAAATTTTCCAAAACTCATAGGAATGCTGTTCATTAGGGACCAAATGGTACAGTTAATAGTATTAGTTATATTAATAACAAAAATGACTGCTTTCACATTATTATACTTACTAACGGTAGCATGGAACAGTGGCAAAGTAAGGATAATTACTTAATTTATTAGCTAAATTTTTTTTCAATAAACTAAGACCATTATGACCTTAGTTTAAAATTATTAAGTGTAATTTATTTGTATAGCCATTTAAAGTTCATTTACCTCTGTTATAATTTCATAAAGATTCATCACCGTCAGTAAGAGACATTTATTATTACAATTCTGTCAGTTTTGTTTGACAAAATAATATTAACAACTTCCCTCTTTAAATTCAAGCATTCTGTGGTGCATGCCAAGTGATGTTTACCTAAGCTCTGCATGCAAGCAGGATGTATGAGGTTAACAGAGTGAACAAACACACCTCTGGTAAACAGGCTTATCAGGGACTTAACTGCAGCGACTCTTATTGCCTCTAACAGTGGAGTAAGTACAGTAGGATTCGTCTGCTGGATCAAAACGAAAACATGGGATCAAAAATATCCCAATGGTAATGCATAAAATTTCAAAATATGAGAAGCATTGTAAATACTACTACTAACAATGACAACAATAAGTTTATTTTTCTGTAAAACAGTTGACATTTCTCAGTTTGGGATGTAAAGTTACTGGGATGCATTTGCGTTTACATTTCATCTGAAATAAGGAGAGTTTCCTACGATTATCTTGAACATTGCAAGTTTTAATCCAATATTTCTTATTAATCTCTTTTACTGTATTAAAATTGAAATTATAAAGACATCCTCAGCATTGCCGAAAAACTAGGGGTCGTTCACTGTGCCCATGGGCACCGCTAGATATTTTGGGCCCCAAGAAAGTATATCATATTGGGGCCCCAACCCAGCTCAAGCCAGTTATGTTCCAAATTTTTAGGGCTCCTGTTGCACAGGGACCCTTGGAATTGCCCTAATTTCCCACCTTTACAGCACCTTTTCTTTGGTGAATTAGGTCCCCACGCCGTTTTCCAGTGACAGACCATGCTGCACTTTGCCGTGGTCAGTATTCAGTGTAATATTTCCCAGAATGAGATTAACGGCATTAGAAATCTTTTTCATCCTTTAATGCATCTGCCTACAGTAAATGCCAAAAAGAGCCCCAATATCCAAAATATCATACTAATGACAACTGAGCATCATACAATCCTATTACATTTCAGATCAGAACTTCTGCTTTATGATGTAATTCAGATAATATGGCCAAGCATACAAATATAATGGCAGCCGTAACTGTAAGCATAAATATATACTGTTCATTCGCTTTCGTTTAGAGTTTGGTTTTTGCCCCAGATTTTGGAATTTTAATAAACTTAAATTCAGGTCAAAGCAGCAAAGTGACTTCATGGTCACCACTGTCGCCTCACACCTGCAAGCCTGGAAGTTAAAATCCCATCTCCAGTTCTGTATGTCGAGTTTTCACGTTGTCCCTCTTTGCACTTTTAGCCAAGGTATTCCTGCAGTCCAAGGTATTCCTGCAGTGTTATGTATCTAGAGGCAACCCGTGCAAACACAGGGAGATGTGCAAACTCAGCTGACACCAGGGCAGGGTCTGAAGCTGCAACTGCGGAAATTACATAAGCGCAATAATAAACATAATTTGTGCTCGTTTGTGTCCATAGGAGACAGTGGTGCTGGCAACTAAGCAAAGGGCCGCCGCATAGAGGGAGCAGAGCTGGTGGAGGTCTTGGGTGCATCGAGAAAGGAGGCTGACAGCAGTGACTGCCTGCAGGACATCCAGGTTCCCCTTCCTTTGGGTGTCCATGGTATCCAGATGGATACTCAACTCCTCAGCTAAATATGCGAGTGGTACCCTGACCGTAGCACCATGAGCGTGGTGCATTTCCCCAAAGTGTCAGATACTGGTGGAGCCCTACAATGCTATCAACCCGGTCCTCTGGGACCCCCGGACAGTCCACGTTTTTACTCCCCCCCCCCTGCCAGACAGTTCACATTTTTGCTGTGTACTGGGAGTTGGGAGGGAATCAAATCATGGTCTGTCTGGGGGTCCCTGAGGACAGGGTTCAGAAATGCTGTTGTAGAGAACACAGGACTTTTTGCATTGACAATGAAGCTCTCCATCACATATGTTTCTATGCTCTAAAGCTGACAACCCCTACACTTGTCAGCTCAATGCAGGCGTATGCAAGGTAGCTGCCAACATGGTTCATTCCTTCATTTTCACTTCCTCATGCTAGTTTGCTCCTCTCACCAGCAGGGGGAGCCAGCAGTATCATGCGTTCGCTGTATTCAGGCTCACTCAGCAGAAGTCTGATGCCAGGAACATGACGGCTGCTTGCGATCCCCAACACACCCGTTATGTATGTATGTCCACGAAGGAAGCAGATGACTAGATGCTTATTATACAGAAGAAAAACAGCAGATATTTTGTTAATTGGATTCCCAACAATGTTAAAACAACCGTTTGTAACATCCCACCCTGCTAACAGCCATTCAGGAACATCCCAGGCACATTTTTGAGCATTTCACTGTTATGTTCCATTTCACTGTCATGTTCCATTTCACTGTCATGTTCCACTGTTATTCAAGCCTACAATATTGAAAGCTAATTCATTATTAAGCTCTGCAAGGTTTTTTGCTGAAAGTGTAGTAAAAAAAAAAAAAACCTTTCACAGACAGTTTTTCCACATGCATCAGAAATCCTATTTTAAATGCCTTTATAGCTCAGAAAGCAACTTTAAGCAGAACTGCACAAGTACATCTTGAATACATAAACAAGAAAATACATCTACATAAAATATCCAAATTTTCACTTTACAGTTAAGGGAAAAATATCTAAAAACTCATACAGTCAAAAATGCAGGACATTTTTTGTATGGACCACATTTTGTCAAAAACCATGAAAAAACACATTGGGTTCTGGCTATTTTTTATGGAAGGAATGTTATTTTAAGTGCTTATTTTAGGTGGAGTGACTCAAGCTTACTGAAAAGTAGGTTCTTGGTGGTTCTTGGGTCTAGAATCATGATAAAATTTATGTGTGGGGTTTTTCCAAGGACCTATTTAGACTGAAGATATAAGGAAAAAAAATGGGTGAACAATTTTCAAAGTCATGCAGAGACTGTTGCCTACTTCGGGAAGCACAGGGTCTATGGTAAACAGCTGAGGTGGAACACCAGTCCATCTCAGGACACACACGCATGCAGAAAGATATTTTCAGGGATGCCAATCCACCTGTCTGAGAGACAAAACCAAAGCACCGCCACAAAACCCTGGAGAACGTGAGGAGCGCATGCAAACACCATGTGTGTAGAGCCTGGACAGGAATCACAGCCACACGTGAAGGCTGTCAGGCTAAACTGAACTACAGAGCCACCATTGGGCTGATGAGAAGTCATTTGGAGAGAACATGTCTTTCAGAAAAGTAATCAGACAGTAATTACTTATCAACATAACCGGGAGTTACAACAAGACAAATGGAAATTTACAAACTGAGCAAGAAGTTTTGCAATTTCGTTTCACGTTGTTAATGAGAAATACATAAGCAATACATATGAAAACATGACAAACTCTACAAAATAGTCTTACTGTGAGTTAAAATGACAAGTGCAAAATGTTAGTTTAGCCAAGCTGCAGATCTCAATGCGGATTTTAACATGAACAGTTTGCTAATGATGAATTAACGTTTCAGTCACCTTCGCCGTATTTCTGTAAAAATCACACCATTCGGTTTTATCTAGCCATTAATGGGCATGACAGAATACTGCAAGTATAAATATCAACAGCACGCAAGACTTCGTTGGGAGACTTTCAGTAACTGCATTTTAGAAGCCACACCACAGAACTTTGGATCATGGTCTATAATCTTCACGATCATCTAAGGAGGCTTGAGATACTTCCACAATGAAATGTGAATTGTTTGCTCAAATTGACCTTAATTTGCATTTAATTCACTGTACAGTTTAAAATATCATCCAAGGTATTCTTTATTGTAAACAATTAAAACAAGTTTTCTAGTGCTGAATAGTAGTGCAATGTTTTTAAAAGTATTGCACAAGATCCCAACAATATATTTAGTTATTCATTTCTTCAATTTAGTTATACACTGTATTTTATACAACTGGGATAGCAAATATTAAAGATTATATAGCATATAATTAAAAAATAAAACATCTGATTTGGTAAAAGAACAATCTTCATTTAGATTGTAATGAATCATGTCTAAAAACTCAAACAGCTTGCAAACTGTGGTGGCTTATTCATCTGGCCAGAAGAATTAAAACTTTCCCAAAGTCTCCCTTCAGACCTTCATGTTTGCAGTGTAAAGTATTGATTGTTAGTATTCTGTCAGTATTTGCTGATCCCAAAGCACAGTCATCTACAACAGATCTAGTAACTGTGGTACATGTGTATGCTGGGAGATTGTGTAGCTATACATAATATAAATAAAATATACTTTTAGCACAAGCAGCGAGAAAGCTAGGACTGCTGGGTATGGCGGCTCAGGTCAGGTGCTGTGGACCCAGCTACGGCGGAGCCCTGGTTCTCAGAGATCAAACCCAATTCCTCATCCATCTGCTCCAGTTCACTTTGGTCCAGCAGCTCAAAGTCCTCTTCCTCAGTGAGGGCGTGTGGTTCGATGGGACTTTCCGCAGTGTCTGTTGTTGGCGTGGCTGTACTCCCATCGTTCAGCTCGGTCTCACTGAACAAAGTGCTTTGCAATGCAGTTGTCTCAGCTGGCAAGAACTCATCTATGGAGGGGTCCTCCCTGGCCTCACTAGAGTGCAACATGGCTGTTAGAGTGTTCTGCACCACAGTGGAAATCGCCGTACTCACTATCTCCTCGCTGAGGGCCTCCAGAGAAAGGCTAGCACCTCGAGGGGTCTCCTTCATACCCTCAGCACCCCCCTGGCTTCCCTTTACTAGTCTTCCATGCCCGTTAAAGTGTGTGTTCACAAAGTGTAAAGGCGATGCCAAGTGCTGGAAGAGGAGACTGGCTGGACTCTGCGGCTCCCCCTCCTGGGTGTCCATGGTAAGCCCCAGACCACAACCAGGCAGAGTTGCGAAGACTTGGGGCAGGCCATGCTCAATGGAGGAGAATTCATCAACAGAAGGAAACTCTGGAAGATCTTGTGAGAAGGCCTCCTCTGGTTCGCTGGTTATACTCTGCTGATCCAGGTCTACATGTGCATAGGAAATCAGAAGGCAGGTATAAAAGATTAGATAACTTGATAACTTCCTGTTGTCTACAGCCAAACAAAAAAGGTAATATATTCACATTCGAAAACTGGTTTACATTGAGAAGAACATTATCTTGTACTGAAATACCTTCAGAGACATCAGTGAGCTGAGGAGTAGTAGCTCGGGACACAGAGAATCCTCCACTCTCCAGGATTGAGGCCTCCTCGTCGGAGAGCTCAGAGTCCGTGATGGCCATGGCTAAGGCCGTGGTCTTCACATCCACCTGGCAGCAAGAAGTACCACCCATTGAAACTGTAACTCTAATTCCCATAACAGCACCCATGGGCATAAATTATGGGGGGATTGTAACCCCACCCCCCCATTAATCAAAACCAGCCAATACAACTCCCTGGACCCCCTTAAATGGGTGGAGAACTCAACCCCCCCCCCCCCCAATGCTCAACCCAAAATTATGCCCTTGCATGCACCCAACTTGTCTGTCTGAATACAGTGTGAACATAATTGGTGTCGAAATCATAGTCTAGGCATGAAAAATATTTATGACATTCTATATGGTTAAGGCTTCTATACTATTTAATTATGAAATGTATTCACTACAAAAGTAAATGTTACTTGTAATTTCTGAAGGACAACCCTTCAATTAACATTGGGTGAAAAATAAAACCAACTCAATAAAGGTATATTTTAAAGTAATTTTAAATTCATGTTAAACAAGCATATAGACAAAATGATTCTTACAAAAATGCTGGCTTATTGACAGAGACAAGTTTCATCAATGCAGATAACAGCTTACATTTATATAATTGAATTATATCATTTCAAATAATGTTTTTCTCTTGGAGATATAAAGGTAAAGTGCATGCAGGGGAGAAACAATAAGTGTAACTGTGGGTTGTGAACTGAAAGAGGGCAAACAATTGACACATGGGAGTCTCCCAGCAAGCTGCAGAAGATGCAGGGCTCCTACAACCCTACAGCACCAGAATCCTGAGCAATTTTTTGTAAATACAGCCAAAGAGCAAGTGATGATAACAGAAAGGCTATTGCAGTGCATCATGGGTACAGTGCTTACCGTGGGGGCAAAGCAGGGCAATTCCTCTTCACTTTCACTCTCAGTCTCTGCCTGAGGCTCATCACCCTCCTCTGTCTCTTTTTTAGTCTCTATAAAGATCCGATGGTAAAGATTATTGCCCGTCTATTAGGGTAAAGTTGGGAAATCACCTTGAAAATTTTTTGCCAAATACACCCTGAGTTGCCAAGCTCGTGTTATTACACAATGAATATAACATGCATTTCAACTCCTAGGTGCACAGTCACCTTCTGCCCAGAGTGACATAGAATTTACACCTGCGTGTAGCTGTATTTCAGTGGGAAAATACTGGTTAATTATCTTGGTCAGGGACACAACACCAGAATTAACCTTACCCTTGAACTGGAACTAGCAGGTTATAAATATAATGACACTTTTCACCAACCCCATCTTGCACTCCATGACACATATGTGGGTGAGAGCAAGCTTGGAAGTGAAGGACAGCTGCCTGAAGTGGTGCCCAAGGAGCAGGAGGTTAAGGGCTTTGCTCAACGTCCCACCTAAGAGCTAACAAAGCCATTCCTCCCAGGACTCTAACTGGCCAGCTTCAGGTTACAATCTACTTTCACTTCTGCCATTTGGTCTTTCTGCTTTAAAAGGTCCTTAATATTTAGGGTGGCGATTCTCTGAGACGGCCCTTGGAAACACAGTTTATGCTCATTTATGTTCTAGCCAAACATACAGTAGGGTTGGACTGCTGCTGCTTGATTTTTTATTTTTTTTATTGACCAGAAACCTTCATTATATTTCATTATATTTCAACGTGGTGACCAAAGTGCTACAAGTGTATCAGAATAAGAATAAATGCCAAAAATAAACTTAAAATCACATCTAAAATACATTACAATTAAAATAAATAAAATAAAAATATGATATATACTATGATATACAGTACTTCCTAATGGAGCCATCAGTAAAATGTGTGGCCCCGCCAGTCAGGACTGTGAGTCTACAATTGTTAGAGTAATCATATAACCATCACTTTACAGTATTTACGGGCCCCTGAGCAAGGCCGCTACCCTCCAAAGGCTAAGGAAGTGTTAGACCCTGCATTCTCGAGAAATATACGTTCCATTGGATGAAAGCAGCATATTGAGGCTAGTGCGTTTAGATCATAATTGTGCTTCGGTAAAGAAGCTGCTTGCAATCAAAACCATCATACAATCCGCAGTGCTGCTTTACAGTAGTAACAGCAGTAAATCATGTACACATAAGCAAACAAATCCTATCATTTATTGCCATGAATAACATTAATTTTCTCAGAAATGTTAAGTTTGACCAGGTGAGCAATAATTACTTCAATGGGAAATTTTGAAAATTTGTGCAACATTTTAAAGAAAGAAAAGGGAGGAACACTGACTCTTTTTGTCATGCTTCCGGTGCTGCGTGCCGCCCTTCATGCTGTAGTCCAGCTTCATCAGGATGGGCTCCAGGCCAGTGTACATCTTCTGGATCAGCTCGTGGTACACCACCAGGGGCCAGAGTAACACGCTTATCACTGTGCACAAGGGGGAAACGAAGCAGGCAGAGGCCAAGGCGCTTTAGGCAAAGCTCAGGGAAAGACCACATGCTGCTTACTGCCAAGTTACATGCAATAAGCACAAAATGGTCAAAGGAAGAGGACATGGCAAAACACCATCACTATATTCCTTATTACATTTATTTATTTATTTATTTATTTTTATCTGCTTATAATTACACCACATTTTAGAGGCAGAGATCTAACTGAAGCAGCTGTTTAAATTACAAATGAATATTCAACTGAGCATGTTAAGTACTTTGCTCAGACGTCTCATAGCATGGCATTCATTACCCATTAATAAGTGTCTATTTCCCTGTACTCTGCTGCAGATCAGCATAGATCTGCACATATACTTCAATTATTATACAATAAAACGCATCCATAATAATCACACATCAACACAGGAAAGTCAGGGTTTTTAATACATACATATAATGTATGAGATCATGATTCCTGGTATGTAATGTCCCACGATGGCCAGTACCATACATCCTGCACACGTCAGCATACAGAACTGGAAGGAACATCACATAATTTACTTAATAATTACAAAATTACAAAAGCACAAATCCAGCTAAAATGTTTCAACCAACCCGTCTCCATACTCATGGAATTTACCATATAACATACAGTGACACCAGATGTAAATTGTTCTAGAGTAGACAACCACTCACTCACCTTGCCATGGTTCAGCCTTTTGTACTGCAGCATTTCCTGGATGTAGAGACTACAGGTGATGTAGCTCTCAGCAACATGGTGACTGAGCTCTGGAATGCTGAGGAGCTTGGGGTGCACACTCACAGTCTCCCTGTAGTCACAGAAAGGAGTGCACAGGCACAGCCTACGTTACAAAAGTGCTAGGTGTTTCAATAGAATAATGAAAAGTGTTACTGCCTATGTTCCTTTATCATTACATATTACACAACTAACCTGTTTACATGGGTATAATAGACTGACAAGCATGCTGAATGCAAAAATATTACTTCAGTTTTCTTTTCTATGTAGATTTAAATCTTACACATACTATATTATATGCTGTACCTTTAAGATTAGGGTCTAATTCTGCTTGCTTGGCCAACAATATTAAAGTGCATGCTATTTAAAATTTTATAATAAAAGAATACATACATACAAACATAAGGCCTTATCACAGGATTGACTACTGAAATGTACCTTTCAGTGACGGACGCTTCTGGGTGCTGCACTGCATTGGCAAACAAAAGACAAGAATTCGAGTTAGATTTAATGGGTAGCTATCTAAAAATTTATATTTATAGTGAAATATATCAGCATATACAGTAAGCATACTTCAGTGAGAAAGCACGCGGCGCTTTCGACCGTACCATTAATGCGGGGTAACTTGTCCTTCCATCTTTCTAACAGCAAGATCCCGAGCAAGAAGACGCTGAGTAGAAATAGGGGTCTCAAAAACGAGGATGACAACAGCCTGCAACAAAAAGCAAAAGCGACGGTTACTAAGCAGTGCTGCACATACCGTAGAGCATTATATTTCCTGTATAGCCGTTAAACTCAAACATCAGCAGTAATTATCCGATAGCTAATTTACCAATCACAAGAAACATTTCCCCAAATTTTATCATCTAACGACGTACTCTTAAAAATTGCATGTCAATTGATTCGGGCGGAAAATTGATGAGCCTAAGTTTACAAACCGTTGTTTAATCCCACTGTGGAGGGCTGTATTATATATATGCACATACCCATACTGACACGCATGGCAACACCAGCTGTATTATAAACATTAACCGAGGGACCAGCTATCTGTTTAAGGAGAAACAGATACACTCCATAGCAGCTAAGCTAACTAGCTAACGCTGCAAATAAACATTATCTTCCCGGAAAAGCGAGGCATACGACAATTTTTGCGCGGTTATTAATACTCAAGCGCCTCAAGTCAGCGGTGTTGTCAAATTACCAGAACAGGGTGTTCAAGGTAAAAGCGGCACAAATGCTGTGAAGCGGCCTCTCCCACACCAGCAGCCTCTGTGCCCACAAAAGCACGGCTTCGTACGGCGACAGCCAGCCCTGGAGCCGCTCCCGAAGTCGGACTAACTCCGGGTTCCCCTCTCCGCTGGCTTGTTCGGTCCCTACAGCTGGGAAAAGGGCCTCTAAGCGTACAGATGAAGAGGAGGAAACTGGGGCACAGGAAACCTCCTCTTCGCTCGCCATCTTTTCCCCACTTACAGTTTAACTGCGTGTCACGGACTCAGTCCGCAGACCAGGTGGGGGATTAATGAAGGCACTATGGACAGATCTTACAGGCTCTTCTGGTGTCACGTGTTTTTTTGTTTACGTCTCTTCGTGTCCATTACTGACATCTAGTGGGCGGATGTGTCTATGCATCCGTCGTTCAAAATTCTGCGCTATTGCATTTTGATTCACGTTTATAATTTATATGCTGTCAAATGACACTTATTATAGTAATTTAACTAAATTTATTAGATATATCCATTCACATGTGAGTGTGTTTAATTATTCTCTGCGTAGCTTTTTAGTTGGTTACCGTTTAAAGTAATTTTAAGAGGGCAACATGCCCCACGCGGCATAACGCAGATTTGACCAGGGTAAACATTGGACAGATGTCAATACCAAACATAAATGCTTAATGTCGATTTTCCAAGTGCAACTATGCCAATTTTGTCACCGCGATTTATAATGAATTACAAATGTGTACTATTCAATAAAATTTACGGTAATCTATAATTTCAGTTACCGTCAATTACATAAACCGACATTAATAATCTGATTTTCTTGAGGCTTCTTTGTCTGCCCTTACTGTGAGGCTTGTGTATTTATCGCACCATCTGTCAATGGCTCTCGGCAGCGTATGTGCACATATGTTTGTGAAAAATGTTGACAGCCTAGCTCAGCCACTACGAACTACAGATAGGATTATGGTAGCAGCATTACATATTCGCGAGGCTGAATTAAGGTACAAAAAAGATTTAATTATTTAAATTTTGAAAATAAATTGGCAACAAAATCTTTGCGATCGTGAAGGTCATCGACGTACAAAATCGCTGACTCAACAGCACAAGAATAACAATTAGAACACAACAACAAACACCCTTCACTTAAAAGACAAAAGAAAGAAAGAAAATTAAGAACGTGAAGATCTGAACAGTGGGCGGGGTCATTCAGGCCGCCAGGCACACTGTGTGTGTGTGTGTGTGTGTGTGTCATCCCGGACTACGCAACCCGCCCCATAAATAGCACACAACATTTGCCGACGACTTGTAAATGCTTGAGAGGAAAATAACACATGCAGTTAAAACAGTGACAAAATATTTCTAAATTGGAGTATGTACGTGTGTGGTGATTTGGTATGGCAGTCTATAAAGGAAAAAAAAATTAAGTTGTACATGACCTATACCAGGCCCTGTTTTTAAATGCAGTTAATAATGACAGGCGTTTTTTTAAGCATACTAAAACCAGAGGTCACTGACTCACAACTCAGATTTAATGACTTGTGCTCCACTCAGCAAAACTGATGGAGAGACTTGGACTCGACTTGACCGGGAGAGCAGTGACTCAAGACTTGGGCCTGATTTGGACCCCATGACTCGAGGTCTTGAGGTTATAGCCCCCCTCTGGATACCATAATGTTTATTTTATAATTTCAGTGTATATTAACTCTCTGCTGTCTGCATTTTCAATTAGCTTAATGTAAGGTATCCTAAGATAGTTTGTTGGAAAGATTCATCACTCTGTATTTAAACACACATAAAAACTGTGAGGGCAACCATGAGTGGACTCAATTTTCAACCTCTCTGTCTATAAAGAACGCATCCTACAATGTATTGTGGCGGGTTTTTGCTGCAGCAACTTTTAATCACTAAAGGTAAAAAAAGACATAGATAGGGACTCAAGTTACATGACTCATCTCAACTTGGACTTGCGTCACAAATTTGATGACTTGTGACTTGACTGCAAAAATGATGGAAAGACTTGAGGGCAAATTACTCAAGACTTGACTTTGAGCTAAGCATAGCCTTAGGAGTGACCAGGACTGCAATCATGTGTACTTAAATATGATTTCTACAAGACTCCATTTACACATATGCATTTCATTCTCAACCAGTGCCATTAGTTCAGCTGAATTACATTTTTCATTTTTATTTTTTGAATAGGTTTCAAGAGTCTGAATAGAAATGTTAAATGCACTACCATGGATGTAGTGGTTTTGTGGGTAGCACTGTAGTCTCCAACTTCCAGAGTTCATGTTGGTGGAGTTTTCACAGTTTCCCCAAGTTAGCTTTGTCCCCTCCCAAAACCTCTGCTGCCCAGACTAGGCTCCAGATCCCCTCATGACGGTGTCCAGGATTAGCGCTTGGAAGGTGGATGGAAAATACTACTCAGTATTATCCAATAAGAAGTCTGCTCCCGACAAAACCCTTTGAAAGAGACTCATAAAACACAGAAGACAAAAGAAAAGCAGCTGACAGCTTACTTCAAGTATTTTTTTTAATGTGAAAAGCTGAACCTGAGCACTATTATCCCCTGATCTGGGGAAAACTGTTTCAATTGATAAAACATATCTTTATTATTAATAACTATTCATTCCTCTTCAAAAGTTCACATATACCTAGCAAATCTGAATCGATCTGATAAATAGATGCACTATTAGCCAGTCAAGCATTTAAATGTAAACATACTTTGGGATCAGGTAAGTTTCAGTCTCTGTATACAGATCCAGTCTAGTAGTTCATCCCCTTGGCCAAGTGACAGCTTCTTCAAAGAGAGTGCAGTCCTACAGTTTGTATAACCAATGGATGTCTTAATTTGACTAATCATCTCTCCTAGAAGCCCATTAGACTGAGACAGCTCAGCAAGACCCAAACATACCAGTGAGAGAGTTCATACAAAGGATTGGTCTGTGGTAATTTCTTATCTGTATGCATCTCTATAAGACAAAATATAGGGGTGTAGGTGTGTGTGTGTGTGTGTGTGTATGAATAGACTGGCTGAAAGGCATCAATGTAAACAGTGGAACAAGGACATCACATGTAGTCTTTGGAATTTAGGCTCTCACTGGCCGAACTGGAACATGGACTGGAACCACAGGACCCCAGCAGGCCGATATCAGGTGGGCTTGGGATCACAAAGTCATCTTCATCAATCTCAGGTGTCAGTTTCTCACTGACCACCACACTGAAAGGCCAAGAATCATATGGTTGAGATGAGCACCTTCAAACAGTAGCAAGTTTTAAATATACAGGCAATCTGTCCAGAGATGCAGTTTCAGCTGTGCAGATTGGTACGAGTAGAGTACCAAATGACACAATGGAGACACACACTTATACAGCTGAGGATGAATAACTAGCTTAAGGGCCCAATGATGATGGTACTCTTATGACTATGGGATACGAACTAACAACCTCATGATCACAGACACAGAGCCCTAACCTGCTGATCCATGCACTGCCCCACATGTAATAGAGCTTAGCTATACTTACCTAGAAGTAATTGGTTCTTGAACAGCGGAGAGGTTACTGTAAGAGTCAAAACTTTGGCCAGAGATGGACCTGTATAACAACTGAGACATAAACACCTTTAAAAACACAGCAAACTACACACAGTATGAAGGCAGGAAGTCAAAATACTAGTATGGTCTGCGTTTGTCAGTGTGATGCTGTCACCTTTTCTACATTCTAGAATTAGTGACTAATGAATAAATGATTCACAGCATATTCCAGCATGCACACAGAGTAGGGATATCAACTCAGCATCTCTACCCTTCACAATCACTGCGTTCAGTTCCAAAATAGTCTAAAACAGAACAATAGGTAAAAGCAGGCAGACACATACAGTACAAGTGTGCACACAAACTGAATGACTCTCAATTATCATCACATCCAAGTTCACCTGATTCCCAATTTTCACTTGGTGGGGATCAGTATCACATTTCCACATATTGTGTGCTTTCTAAAATTATAGTAGTTATCTTGCCATTGTGCCATACTTTGGTATTTAATCCACATAATGGAGTACAAGCATGTATGAAATATGTTAAAAGCCTACACACCCCAAGCATTGTTGTAGATACATTCTCAAATTACTGCTAATAGGCAAAGCAATTGTTCCTTGTTCAATAGATGTTCATTGCTGCAAACACGAGAAGCAAACAGAAGTGAAATAACGGAGTTGCATGGTATTAAACTCAAGTAAATTTGCACATATGATTTGTTGAAAGGGACCTCTCCCCCATAAAATCCATTCAATGGATTTGTAATTTGTTCATCAGTTTCTAATAGAAATTGCAATGCATCAATATTACACTAATTGTGACTATGTGAAACCGCGAATGACAAGTCTCTATTTGTCTGCATGATTAACTTCAAAATAAATGCAATTGTATCTTACTAAAATCACCTTTTCCAGCTTAACGTCAGGAATAGCTGAACTTAACCGTGAAGTATTTAAGTGATTTTGCTTATATGTTTGCTAATGCATTCTTTTGTGTTCTGCCTTGTGTTAAGTTTAATATATAATTTTCAGAATTAGCAGATAATCGAAATCTGGTTGTGTAGTAATCAACTACCCCTGATTATTTGCAGTAGAGAGTCATGGTGGTTTTTCTTTTTTCTAATTTGACTCAGCACTTACACTGCGCAGCAATCAGCAGCTATATTTAACTAACATTTGCTTAAGAGGTGGTTTAAAGCCACAGAGTTTGTGACGGAGGCAGTGGGGGCAGGACAGGAGGAAGTAAATGTGAGAAAACCCTTAAACTGCTGCACTCACAAGGCGTGCTGGATCAGAGGCAGGGCCCAGGTGCAGACCCCTTTCACACAGGTTCTTCAGCAGACTGATACCTTACACACACACAAAAAACAAAAAAAACAATTTAATGTCGCACTACAAGTTGGAAGAGGACAGCCTTGTGTCTTAACACATGTATACTTTTTAGGAAAAGCACCTCGGTCCCTGTTCTGGCAGTATTTCTGCTCCCACTGGTTGAGCAGGATGTTGAGGTAGCGTTGGCGCTCAAAGAAGCGCAGGTAGCGCGACGACATGGGGGACGGGAACAGGCGCTCAAACTGGCCCCTCCGGCTCAGCTCGTCCTCAGACTCCGCCAGCATCCATATATCCTCTGCAGTTAGCTCTTCCAGTCCAGCGGAGAAGAAATCCTTCCAGGATTTAAAAGGGAAAAGTCACTTATGTAAAACCTTTGACAGCCTGCTTCTTTTAGTTACATTAAGCATTGGCAAACACACACACACGCACGCACGCACGCACGCACACACAGGAACACA